TCATACATAGATGGCTAATTCGCATAGGTTTTTCCGTCGGACGTCAACAGATTGTCGATAGCGAACTCCATGAAATCTGTGTAGCAACAGGTGGTCTCCGAAGCCATACAGAAGGCTAGAGATGGTATTAGGTCCTACACCAACATCCTCCTATAATTTCGGGCATTGAGAGGCTTAGTTTCGGATATAAAAATGTTTTTAATTCTTATCAAAAGTGCATTGTTTCCGGAATCCTAAATAGATGTCCTTACTGTCAATAAAACCCTCACGACACTCATAATTTTTTTATTTGTCCTTCCGAGCTATTATATTTTCCTCCCGTACATCTTCACAACAGGATGTTGTCAATGCAGTACTTGCTTAGGTGTTATTGCCGGAATCATTCATGCTTTCATGCTATAAATAGGATTCTCAGGCCCAGGCATGTAAGAATAGGCCTACAAGTTCTAGAGAGAGAGCTATCGTTAAAAGAGAGCAATGAGTTCACCCACCACAAATAGCAGCAGAAAACGACACCTGCCTAGACACACGAGATTGGTTTTAGCTCAATTAAGATCGGAATGGTACAGCCGCCTCAATATGTATTGTGCCCGAATTAATATCACGAATTCCGACACATATCATGTGGACATCTTTTCAACTGCACAGCTAAGCCCTGTTTCCGGTATCGCTTTTTATACTCTTCAACTCATTGTGGTACAGGGCATTATGACTTTGTGCATATGTTTGTAATAGGCAAAAGGAAACGAGATAGACCCATAGTTCCTTTTGAGAATATGCATAGAATCACTTTCGGAGACGATTTATGCATGTCCGTCCGTCTGTTGATGTAAAATTGTAAACAAAGAACAAGTCGCATTTATCATCCGATTTGGATCTAATTTGGCACAGCTGATTTATTTGGCCCTAGGACAATCCCTATAGAAATTGGGAAAAATCGGTTCAGATATAGATAGAGCTTCCATATATAATTTCGTCCGTTTCAAGGTAAATGGTGCACCAAAGTTCCAATATATCTTTCGATTTGAAATTTGGCATAGCGTACTGAATTGGGCCTAGAATGATGTGTGCTAAGTTTCGTGAAAATCGGTTAAAATTTAGATATAGCTCCCATATATATTTTCGCCCGATTTAATGTGCACCAAAGTCCCTACTAATCTTTCGATATGCACGAAACTTAGCTCAGTGTATTGAATGAATTATGTCTGGAATGATGTGTGTTAAGTTTCGTGAATATCGGATCCGATTTAGATATGGCTCCCATATATATTTTCGTCCGATTTAAGGTTTGGTGCGCCAAAGGCCCTAAATATCCTACGATATGCACGAAATTTGGCATAGCCTACTGAATATGTTGCTATGTTTCGTGAAAATGGGTTCAGATTTAGATATAGCTCCCATGTATATTTTCGTCCGATATAATAGAAATGGTGCACCAAAGTTCTTATATATCTTTCGTTCAATTTCATGTCAATGTTATTTCGAAAAGGCGACGTCTGTTAGGAGACTATGTAGAATATACCCAAAGTGGTGAAGGGTATCATATAGTCGGCCCAGTCCGACTTTACTACTTACTGGTTTTAACCTTAAAACGGGGAAAATACAACAAGTATATGGATAGTTGCTAAAACAACAAACTTTTTCAATTATATATCTGGTTGGCCTAACAACTCTTTAATTTGTTGCACGAACTGACTAAAAATCTTACTTGCCCTTACCTACGATTTTTAACTGTTCTTATTTATATGTCCCAGTTTGTTGCAGCGATGTAGTTGATCATTCTAGCACATTGAGTTCATGGAATTCTCTTTGATCCTCTAATAAGACTCGTCTTCAACGCATCACCGGTTTTCGAATACTTTCCCTATATTCCATAAAAATCAAATTCATCTACGAGAGACCTAAGATAGTAGCTGTCCTAAAACCAAAGCAATTCGGCACCTTTAGTTGGAGCTTTAAATTATTTAGGGATACAGCGGTTTTTTTTGCTCTTTATTTGTTTAGAAAAATTAGTAAGGATTTTTTGTTTTTAATTTTTCGATTTAAATTCTATACATTTCAGCTCATGGGTCTAACATATTTGCTCAATTTTGTCTGGACACTGATATTATGTTTTTTGGTTGTATGTACCTTCATATACACCATGTTCTGGAATATGTGTTCAAGCGTTGAACGCTCAAATACTTGTATAGATTTAACACAATTTCGTAAGTAGAAAATATAATAATAATAATAGTGATAATAATGTATCGTAACCTAATTAAAAATTCTCTACCTTTCAATTTCTACAGATTTCATGTTCCCCTCGAGTACCAAACAAGAAGATATGAAAATATGTGAACCGTGGGAAATTAAAGCCTTTTGCAAAGATGGTGTTGAAAATGCTGAAGTCATGTTTATATTGGCCACGTTGGCAACATTATTGGTCATTCTGAGTTTGGTTCATTATTTAATGTGTTTGTCGGCAAATTATAGTCACATTCGTGATCATGAAAAATTCCAAGAGCTACAAGAAATACAACATCTCAATGAACTGGAATACAGTGCAACATCTAAGGAACGTTTCTAGAGGGAGATGAAAACGTAATGCAAGAACAATAAATATTCCAATTCAAAAAACAAAAACAGAAACAGAAAAACATGAAAGTATTAAACATAGTTATTGGAATTTCAACTCTAACCCACTTCCCCAACCACAACAAAATTGTAGAACAATTGTTCATAATTTTCGGCATTTTCGTCATAACGAACTTCGAATGAAACATGTTCGCAAAGGACATTGGATACAAAAAATAAGAATACAATAAAACGAACAAATACGAAGTGAAAATTTTTAAATTTGTTTAGGAGCTTTAAAAATAGATTGCATTTCAAGCTCTACAGCCAATTTAAAATAGTGATATTTCAAACAACGAATATTCCGTCCATTCCAATGGCTTCTTAAAGTCATATTTTTCCCGAACTGCACAATTTATCGGTTGCTGCAAAAATGAATGTAAAACGCTCAAGTCAATTGTTTTGGAAGTACATTAATATATTTAAGGAAAACAAGAGGATTTCAAATTCCCGTAGTTTATGGCTACGAGAGGATTAACAACTATTGAAAACTTCCATACTATCAGATTTTATTCGTGACCGAACTATTCCGGAACTAAAAAGATAACTGCAAAGCTAATATCCGTGCTGTTTTTATATATAATACATCCAACCTAGATCATACACCATAATGCGCAAACATGAATTGACAATTTACATTTGACGACCGATAGTGACCCGCGAAAACGCCACAATTTTTTATAGTATAAGTACCTTTCCTCCATAGTACAAATTCCCAAGTTCTTTTATTTACACTTTTCGATTCATTCCTACTTTTTCTTTCATGTTTTTTTATTCATTAATTCGTTTAAGTTGAAATTTAACCATTAGAGTTATTCAGAGCTATTCTCTATGTAAAAAGTTTATTTTTTTTAATAAAATTACTACTTATTTTGTAAAATATATATTTAAACAAAATTGTGTTTTATTTGTAGGATGCTATGGAAAATTCAAGAACCTTAGGGTTGTTGTAATAGTTTGGCTGTAGTCAAAAGTTCTTTCCCGAAAATATAGTAGTTTTGGAATTTAGGATTGAAAGAGGTACGCCGAAAGAAATGTGCAATCTCTATTGGCTTTAGCTATAAGTCTATGGGAAGATTTGTTTGCTCAGATGAATTTGTTGTAAAGATTTCGGGAACAATGCACTCTCGATAAGAACTAAGAGCATTCCTATTCTCGGACATTAGTTGTGACAGGATGGAACGAATTGTCCTAGGAAAAAGCCTCTCACTATATGAAAAGTTCGCTATAGACATCAGATGGAATGACTTCTTGGATGTCTTCACGATAGAACCTGAAGTCCTGACGGGTATATCGCGTAGTTGAATCAGCCATCACATTGTGACAGTTTGGTAGACACAGCAGATAGCATGCCAGAAGGACTGCCGTCTCATGGAGGTGATCTACGCTCATTAACTGGTCACAATCCGTTGCAATTCGAGGAGAATTATTTGCAAGGATATTCATATGTCGCTAAGGAGGAAATCCAGACTGGGTCTACATAATATAGGATGGAACAACTGATGTCCTTATATGTCGTTAACTAGCTTTCATCTTCTGATTGTAATGGGAGTGCAAGAAAAAATGAAAGAGGTTATCAAAATTCACCGCAAAAATTTTCAGGATTGCCTCTTCAATTTTTTATGGACACAAAACTATATGAAGTTTAGACGCAGATTATGGTTATATATGAGGATGTAATGATCGAGTATTGTACATATCTAATGTTGACACAATTATCGGTTCGCCGTGATTGTTGTTGTAGCAGTTTTATAAGAATATTGTTCTTCCACTGGCTGCAACTACAAATCTTCAGGAGTAAGAGTGTGGTATGAGGGCCCGTGCCACATGCTGGGCAGACATTCTGCACCTGGTCAACAATTCTTGCCCAATATGAATTAAGACGACTGCACAATCCTGAAACGTAATTGGACTAAAACTACTCTGGTTTGTATGTGCAGATTCAGGCTATTTAGACCTGCTCGATAGCCAAATTGATATTAAGGCTCCCTTTCATAACGGCGTTCTGACAGAACTGAGTACTACTCCAATGTGTAACACTAGTATTCGCAGACCAAACTCGTACCGCATGGCTCCTTATCTTGTTTCTACTTTTTAACTTATCGCAGATATCTATGGTTTGCGCGGACGATTTGAACATGCCGTCGAATGTGCCACCGAGTATTTTGGAGTAGTTGGTATTCGAAATTGGGTGTCCGTAGACCTGCACATTCAATGTCATTCTCCTGTTCGTTTTCGGACGGCTCACAAGAAGGACGTGATCTAAAAAGTTTAAAAAAGCATTATACGCCCACGGGCTTAAAAATAGATTTTTACAAAATAGCGGTTGTTAAGCGTTCGCTTAACTAGCACGCGTTTTTTCGAATACGGATAACCTATAAAGTCCGAGTCGTTCAATGGAATCCAAACGGTTGAGGATTTCATTATCATTGGAATTATCCTAACGATTTGGTCAATTAACCAAGGAAAGCAGTGTTAAAATTGAAAGTATTTTGAAGGCTCGTAGACAAAGTCTACATAATCTGTGGTGGCGCTATTATACTCGATAATCGGGAGGCGGGCCAATAACTTAAATAGGAAAAAAATTTCATTCTCATCTCCGCAGTCCATGTGGTGAACAATGTGGTCGAAGATTTAGTGGCTCATATTATATTCTCCACGTAAAAGAATGGTGTTTACTCGGCGAGATAGACATTCAAGTTCACATATATGTCCTCAACTATAGGTCCCGATGCCATGATCGTACAATGATCTGCATTCGTAAAGATCTCGATGCCGTCAGGAGGGCGTGGAATATCGGAACACCACGTACGACTGACTTCCACACATGTAGTTGATTATCCAACGTTTCAAACTTGGCCGGAGGGAAGTGTTCTCGGTGTCCTCGAACACTGTGGCATAATTGACTGTATCAGATGCTTTTAATAGGACACACGCTACCAACACTGTTCTATGACACGACCGGTTCTCGTTTAGTACTCCAATTATATGTGTTGAGATAAAACGCTGTTGCTGTGCTGTTTTGCTTACGTTGTCATGTTGATGATTAGCAACTGGATAGCTTTCCCTAATGCTACTGGTGACAAAAGTAAAATTGGCTTGTAAGATTTACCTTTGCTTGGCCTCAGTAGCGGGAACATCTTGCCCATTGTCCAGGCATCGGGAACGACGTAGGTGACAATCGCCTAAATGAAGGCTCCTGGTCTGAGCCAAGAGAAATGACGGGCTGACAGTTGACATCATTTATCAAACCTGGTGGCACAATGGTTATGTCAAGCGAACTGTGACTCTCTAACCATATTCTGGACTCTTCTGTGACTCTCTAACCATATTCTGGTGGGGGAATCACCATTTACCGTGCAGAACGTGGAGCTATCAGTTTGCTCTGCACAGCCCTCTGGTCATTAACTAGGACGGAATGTCACAACTCATGGTGAGCTATTAAATCCCCTAGTACATGGAGAGCTATTAACTCCCCTAGCACCAGACGGCTATTGCCCTCAAATAGAATGCTAATGTTAAACAAATAACGTGGTTCACAGCGGGCACATTGATTAAAATCATTCGCAATCCTTGTAACCTTGATTACTGGTAAATAGAAGGATTCGGGCGGAGATTATTATATATATTTACTTTACTAGATTGAGAACCAATTCAATTCTGTACTCTGCTTGATCCTGTTCGTTGAGTAGTAGTCGTGTTGATGTGCGAAACTTAAAACTCTGGTTGAAAAATTCGGTTTCATAAAAGAAATTATCCCTTTTGTTGTCATTGGGTATTCCAGAAAGCCAGCATTTAACTTCTTTTTTTGGTGCAATACATGTCCTTGAACCCTCCTATCAAATTTCTCTACAGAAGAGTATTGTAAATTATCAATCCAATTGAATTGTAACAGCTTTTAGCTGTTTATGTGTCACCCTGTATGATGCATAATGTAGAACAACTTGGTAGCACTTTCATAAAATTATAGATACACAAGCACTTAATGATTCAAATTTGATATAAACTTGTGAGTTTGACATTAATAGGAGTATAAATCATCAAAATTTTATATATATATATGTATATATATATTTTTTAGTATAGTAATTACAATTTAAAAATAATCTATTGGAAAGTTGATTTACTGATCCCTACTGTTATCAATTCGTAGTGAATGAATAATTTCTCTTCTTTCATTTGAATTGTTATTAGTTTATTCTTGCAAAGGACCTTATTTTTCGTTCTAATTTTTTGTTATTTGTATGTATTTATTAAATTATTTATACAGAAGATCAACCAATTAATTATTTAAGTCTTTTCTTGAAAACGTTTCATTTTCGATCAATAGGACCCTATTATTGCTGTTTTGTATTCTGTTTTGATTATAATGCTTTATCAGCCATTGCTTTATTTATCCCTTTTACGTCGTTTTTCTGTTTTACGGTGGACTTTTTTGGTTCACCGGTAGTCATATCTTGGAAGAAGTTTTCGGTACGTGAGATTTACTATTTTGGTTTTGTTTATTGTAAAATTAGTTAAATATTTAAGTGTCTGTATGTAAGGGCTGGATATTGGGCTTTCCAATAATGGAGGAAACAATCACACGAGTATTGTGCACAAAGTGAGACTAATGCCGGTATTAAGAGACGGATCCAACACCATAAGTAGCAAAGAGCTGTGGAATCTTACGAAGCAAAAATCTATACAAGACACAAATGGAAGACGACCAAGAATCACCTGGCGAAAAATAATATCCCAAGAAATAAGGAAAATTATTGTACATGGGAAGATGCAAAAACAACTGCAACCAATTGAGAAATATTGCGATGTTTTGTGGAGGCCCTATGGTCCCAAAAGGAGGAAAACACTTGAAACACTCAATTTTTGATAGCACGGATCGGAATAGACTAGGGACAGACTTTTCTTTTCAGGCTATATTAACATGGGTGTTGACAAACCAACAGGAATAAACTCTTTT